CGTACCCCGTGTCACAGCGCCCACTCTCACCCCCACACGTACCCCGTGTCACAGCGCCCACTCTCACCCCCACACGTACCCCGTGACCTGCTGTCACAGTGAGCCCCACTCCTCACATCATCATCACCCCTCGACAGCCTCAGAAGTTAGGAGGCCGTGGATCCTCCCTGTGTAACCCTCAGTCCTGAGCCCCAGGTGTTATTGTCTCCCCACAACCTCTGGGGACCATCTCCCAGGCCACCCCCTTCCTGGGTGCACGGTTCCAGTGGACCTGAGCTTGAAGATGCTGGACTGTGGCAGGAGCCCCTCCTTGTCCACCCTCGGCCAGCCCCCACCTCCTAGGACAGGTCCTTTAGGACACATGGGCTCACTCCCCCTCTGTCACCAGGTACCTGGTGGGCCAGCGCCTGGTCAACTATGAGCGGAAGTCCACCAAGCCCGGCGCCTCGCCCAGCCCGGCCCCGCCATCCCAGGAGTAGCGCCGTCTGGAGCCCTGCCCGGCCTCTCCGCCCTCCTGGACCTCTGTGGAGACCCTGCGCTCTGAGCACCCGGAGCGGGCGGTGCCACCTCGCCCCTGGACGTCACTGCTGCCGCGCGGCCTCCCTGTACATAGACGCTCCTCGGAGACTCGGGCCGCGGCCCGCGTTGCATCCTCCACAGTGTGTATTAATTTATTAAATCTAGTTGTCACTTTACGTGAACCTGCTGTGACCTTGACAGGACCGTGCCAACCGCGACGGAGCAGCAGCCCAGCCGCCGGCCCTGGCCTTGGCCCTGCGGCCTCGCGCTTCACCGTCAGTCGTTTCGGGAAGTTGTTTTGTATGACACCAAAGCTGTTGTACATTTTCTACTGCCTGATTTTTCACGTGTCTGTGTTTGTACTGTTGTATAGTATCTCGTGCTAGGTGAGGAGATTCTTTTTAGTTTTGATAATTTAATATTCCTGTGATCAGCATTGGGATTGGATTTTCTGTGCTTGTTGGGGCATGTCCACATGGAGAAGGAGAAAACGCCCAGTGGAGTCTCATCGCCCCCTCCCCGGCTACCTTCCCTCCGTTTGGCAGCAGTGGCCGAAAGTCCTGCAGGGCAGCAGCCCTGTCCATGGCATCGCCGGGCGCCCAGCAAACCACTCAGGACGTTGGGGTGTGAGGGCATGGCGTTGGAGTGTGTCCCCGGTGTCCATCTGTGACTCCCCCCCCCACGGTTTCCAAAGCTTTCGTTTACAGAATAAAAGTGCAAATAAAACCAGCTCAATTTCATTTGTGCAGCAGGAAACCAGCAGAGCACAGTGGCACACAGTAGGTGTGCCAGGGAGGGGCACAGGCGTGCAGCCCCACTGTGTGTGAGGGGAGAAAGAGGAGGACGTACACAGGCCACAGAGGGACCCCATGCAGAGTCCACACTCGTGACGGACACACAGGCAAGGTTCTGAGAGGAAAGCGCCAGGCAGCCGCAGGCAGGGAGGCCCTGCTCTCCTGTCCCACTCAAGGCTGTCCCAGGCCTGCGGTGGATACCAGTGGGCGAGGGCGAGGGGGCAAGTCCTTGTTAGACGGGGCCTGCAGACAGGACCACCTCACACCCGCATGTCTCAGTGTCCGTGAGCCTGTGTCCAGGAACTGGAGCTTGGGGTCTGTTTCCGTGCACCTGGAGCCCTCTGTTTTTCAGTTGTCAGTGGCCTCACGTCTGGGACCGACACACATGGCTGCGCCGTGAGGGTCCCCGGCCAACTCAACCAAGAGGGAACAGCAGGTCGTTGACCATGTTCAGAGACTCCTAACCACGGCTTCAGTGACAGCTCGCTCACCCGCAGCCAGGCAGTGGCCAGTGTGGCACAGTGGCCTGTCAGCGTCCACACGGCCGGTCCTGGTTCCTGTGGTGCATGCTGGCCAGGAGGCCTTCACAACGGTGCTGCCGGCCAGGAGGCCCCCTCACCACGCTGCCAGCCAGGGGGGCCCCTCACC